AGAGAGAGAGAGAGAGAGAGAGAGAGAGAGAGAGAGAGAGAGAGAGAGAGAGAGAGAGAGAGAGGAGACGAGACGAGACGAGAATGGTGCAGGAACGGAATGGACTGAGACGGAACGGAATTGTGCGGAATAGAATGAAGCAGGGATGGAAATTGGAACCCAAACAGGAACTGAAACTGAAATGGAAACTGGAAAGGAAATGGAATGGAACACCATGGAAGGAGATGAAACAAAATGAAATGAATAGAATCCATCTGAACCGGGACTGACCAGATCGGACTGATCCGAATTGTACCAAACTGAATTGAACTGAATCGAACTGTACCAAACTGAATCGAACTGAACCGCAACCAGAAATGAAGTAGACTGTCCTTCACCTCATCCGTTAAAATTGGAACGACACAGAGAAGATTAGCATGGCCCCTGCGCAAGGATGGCACACACTAATCGAGAAATGGTCCAATTTTTTTGGAAAACAGAAACGAAGTGGATGGACTGAACTCAACGGGGTGTAGCATAAAAGTTGCAGCTCCATGGAGAATAGTGATCCCGGCATAGAAAGTACAAAGTCTATACCCCCAAAACTATGAAACGAAAACACTGTTTTGCAAGATCTATCCAAAGGGATGCTGAACCCTTTTTCCAGCAGGCGCCGCTCCCCACCAGTAGATGGAGCAGCCCAACAGAAAAGCCCTCAATCCCGGGGGTTTTCTCACCACCCCTGGGATAGAGGGCTTGCAGAAGGGCTAACTAAATTAGAAAAAAAAGAAAAAAAAGAAAAAAGAACAGAAATGAAGCAAACAAAAAGCATTACTCTGTAAGACATGTTGCCATGATAATTGATGACTGTTACTCTTGCTATTCAACTCATTGATGATCAACTAATGCATTCCAAGGGGCAGACTCAGCACTGACTTGGTAAATTGGTAGGGCTGATCTTTTTTTTTTTTTTTTTCACACCAAGACAGCCCCATCTATTCTGGGGGGCGACAGTTTGGTTGCTTATCACCGGCAAGCATAGACCAGGAAACAGACAAAAAAGAGAAAAGCGGCAGCAAGTCTTCCAACTTTGGCTCTCAATTACTGACAAAACAATGCCATCAGATCAGGTCTCGCTCTTACTTGGCTTACACACTCACAACTCAGGGCAGGGATTCAAAGTTTCCTTCTTCCACGTTCTAAGACTTGCGACCGTATGGATGATTTGGAAGCGCAGGTTCCAAGAAACAATTGATCACTCAGCCATGGCACCCCAAGAAGCTTGAGAAGGAGTTTTGCAACTAACATAGAGGACGGTGGAAAAGAACCTGTAGGAAAATAGAAGAGAATATCACAAACAAGGACAAAATAATAGAAACTTTCGTAAAACATCAGTTAGGAGAAGGTAGGATTGCTAGAATAGAACAGGACAAACTGCACTTCGCTCAATGGCGACACATCCACCTAAGGAGGCAAGGGATAGAAGCACCTAGAAGTAGGACTCACCTTACGGATATATCAATAGGTGAGAGATAAAGAGTGAAGTGCCAGCACAGACTCCCACAAAGGACACAGATCAACAACACCAATTCCCAAAATATGACCACCTCCCTGCCAAGCCGTGGAAAAAGCAAGGGCACAGTCCTAATCTGAACAGGTAGCCAGAACCCAGAGGAGAGGAATAGGCGAGGGGTTTAGGGTTTAGGGTTTAGGAACGATGCACAAAAGACCCTCAAAACCCCTAGAGAAATTGTACAGAGAAGACAGGATTAACTAGGAAAAATTGGGCCTTAAACCGGGTACCCAGACAACGTTTTTAAGGTCAGGAGACATACTGGACTACACAAAAGGACAGATCAGGAACAGTTGCCCGCAGGGAACAAACCCCGACAGGAACAAGCTTCAACACAGCCCGTAGAAGCCAACTCCTCACACTAGCTCTCGGTTACCACATTAATTAGATGGATACTCAACGGAGAAGGGGCCAAGAGTGAGGAGTTGCCGTAGTCCAAGCGTTAACTGAAATAGGCTAACTTAGGCAGGGGTGAGGGTTGGTACATCCTTCTCAGGGAAGTAATCAACGCCGCCCACTCGGTCCTCTCAACCATAATGGGGAGGAGCGTGCGCGTTTCCTTAATGTATTCATTATTGACTTGCAGGGGGAATAGGAACCGGACTGTTGCTCCCCAGAATGGTAGGAGCCAGAACCGTGAGGTTCTGATTTCTCTATTAAAAAAAAAAAAGAAAAAAAAAAGCACAGCCTCCTACCCCTGTCGCACTACACGCGTTGATCTTTCAAATTTCCAGTGGTTTGCCAGGCAATGGTCAGCCTCAGATGTCAACAAGTAAGCAAAGGCAGAACCTGTCTGATCTTCCTATTCATCACATGGCATGCTATAAGTGTAGCACAGAATGAACCCCTGGTTGGAGAATCAGAGCTGTTTCACACTAACCTAGCACAGAATAGGACACATTCTGGTCAGCACCAGGCCATTTTGCAAAGCTGGATTAATCAGGACAGGTCCTCTGGGACATCCTTGAAGATTGGAACGATACAGAGGAGATTAGCATGGCCCCTGCACAAGGATGACTCACAACACTCGAGAAACGCCGAAACGACGAAAAAAGAAAGAAAGAAAGAAAAACAAGACAGGTGCTGATCACCACTTGAAATAATGCCTTTCTTCTGTCCTTTTATTTGTTTTGATTCTTTGAAGAGATTATCCCCTTACATTGTGGAAGTTGCCATATGTGGTGTTAACATGTGAATCAACAGTTGTAATGGCTATCATTTCTCACACATGTAGGAAAAAGAAAAGAAAGCTGTATATCATTGAACCGTCACACACGCACAATAATGCAACATAATTCTAATACCTTTAAAATTGAAATGTTGCTGAAACAGTAACGAAAACTGCCATGCCACCTAACTCTTGTGCTTGAATGTTGCACACATGTTACTCTTGATGAACAGTTCATGATAGAAACAATTGGATAGTATGAATTCAATAATGTAAGGTGGTAACTACCAAAAGCCTCAAGGCTATAGAGTGAGTCAAGATGACATATTGGTTGTCAGTGTTTGTCAGCAGGTGGCCTTCAGCCTGGAGATACACCTGCGTGATCTGGCGCTAGGAAGGGACCAACGCCGCCTAACTCATCATAACAGATATCTTGTCTTGTAAGGACCATCTGGGTTTCAATTAAGAAGCTCTGTGTGGCAAATGGGGGTGAAGCTTTTCCATTGCCTGGTAGGGTTAGGGAATCAAAACCTTGGATCGATTTGTGAGGGGATAGGAATTAGTGCTCAAGGTGAACCCGATGAAGTACATAATGTAGATGGTTGATTCATGCAATCTTTCAAGGAAGTGTTCGACTGTTAAGTGCAGATCGGTAGTACAGGGGGAAGTGGGCAGTGAGGGTGTGGTGCCACCAGGCTATAACGTGTGTTAGAAGACAAGCATGGCCCTTTCCCAAATCAATGTTAGGTTCATGCTAATTGGCACAGTAATAGTCCAGCGGGAGGAGTGGAGGAAAACTGTCGAACACAACCGTGTGGTTTCAGGACTCGGTGACAACTTTCTTTCTGGAAGTCTCTTGCAATTTCTGGCAATTTTTGCTCTTTCTGTTCGCCCCCTGACAATCTCCTATGGGTTAGAGGAACTTAGAGCCTATTGAAATGGAATGAAAAAGGCACTAAAACGGTTGTGAATTTCATGTCTACCTGCAGTTCATGAATGAGAAACTGGAGAAGCAGCAGTTGGAGCAAAGGATCACTAATATGCAATCACAGCTGCTGATTGGTGGTCACAAGATTGAGGATACCCCAGCCTTCAGATCATTGCTGCAGGCAGAGCACCGAAGGATTAGGACAGAGTATGAAACCCGACTGGCAGAGCTGGAAAGAGAGAGGCACAACGTGGAGGAGGATAAGGCACAGGTGATTACTCAAGATAACCACTGCGCATAGTATCCATCCAGTATGCACATGGCACTCCACATCACAGATACACATGACCGCACCACAATTCTCTCTCTCTCTCTCTCTCTCTCTCTCTCTCTCTCTCTCTCTCTCTCTCTCTCTCTCTCTCTCTCTCTCTCTCTCTCTCT